GGGTATATATTCTCTTATAATGTACAACAGCTGATTATTAAATGAAAAATATTTATTTAACTCCCTAGAATGTTTCATTCTCAGGCATTTTATTCTTTTCAACTCAAATTAAACAAAGATAAAAATGTTGCCTTGAAAGTGAATAAGTAATTAAATGAATAAACCAGGTAACGGCAGGTGAAAGGAGCAGCAGCGTCCAAAATACATCAGAAACTCGCCTAAATGAGCAAACTGAGATTCCGCGTTTTATACAGGATTCCATTTTGTGTCAATTCGTTATTCCGTTTGCATTTTCCGCATTGCAAAAATCATACATRTCCCAGTCCTATTTTTTATTYTTATTTTCTACACACCTGGGATATTTTTCCATGTACCCCCTGTAATATGTTCGCATATCCCAAGGGCTACACGTACCTCTGGTTGGGAATCACTGATTTAGAATGCAAATAAACACTGATACTCATAAACATATGTACAAATTTGCAAACAACAAAGCTATATGCAGTGTTTCCATTGAAATGCAGACATTTTCTCAGGAGTTGTTTGAACAGAACAATGATGTGTTACAATAAAGTGCCTTAAAATTGTATTTGCCACTAATAAAAACAGGTTTTGACCAAAAAATGACAAAGAGGCACATCATATTCCCTTATTTTGGTCTTTATCTGTGTCCTGCTCAGGATAACTTAGATCTGAATCTACATGTTGTCATTATTTTAGCAGAAAGTGACAAAACGTGGTTCTGTCTCCAGTGATTCCAGGGACAAATAAGGTCAAACTGGAAAAGTGTAAATAAAAGAATCAATCTTATCATGCTATAAATACGATCCGATATTCATCTTGAGACGGACACGCCCACCTCTACCTTTTGTGCCCCGTGACGTGAACCTGAGTGTGTTTGTCTTTTCTGTCTCGTTTAACGATGTAATTTCACTTCAGCTTGTTTGACCTGCAGCGGCACATGATCAAACACAAACCAGGATTCACAACAACTCATATTATTCACGACAAAATGACAAGTTTCTGACGTGCACTTTCTTCCCAATACTTGATATATTTCAGAAAGTCTGTTACACTTTATTTCAGTCTTATTAAAGTGGAGCTCAGATGTTTGACAAACTTCCTTTCGAGCAATCAGGAAGTGAATATTTGATACTGAAGAGATCTGCTCAGGGTGGAGAATGAGTTTATCGTAATGATCTGTGCTGAACAAGTTCGTCTCATAAAACCTGAGTGGCTTTAGATTCTGCAGCTGAAACAAGAGGCCACTGAAAGTGTCCTCTGAGGAGTCACCCCTGGCTGTGACACAAACAAGTGCTGTTGTTTATGGCACCACTAACTGTTGTAAGAAGAGCTCAGTTTTCTGTAAAACGGCTCCACGCTGCTGTTTGTTGTTCTTCTGTCTGCTTTAATGCGTCACGGCAGAGAGGCTCGTGTTGCCAAAGCAGCGGCTTGCAGAGCTGGAAGACTCTGCCTCCTGTCCCATCCCGGGTCGTCAGCAGTGGATCTGACACCAGACACACGCTTTAATCTCATCACGCAGCTTCCAGTTTTCCTGTGCCTCCCGGACGTCACACACTCCATCTCGCTSTCGTTCTCCTCTCGTTTCCGTCGGGCTTCATCCTCTGCTTCCTTTATTCTGTTTGCGTCCGTCTGCATCCCTCGCTCCTCGACACGAACGCTCATCGTCTCTTCTTCGGCTCATCACTGGAGCATCACGCTCAAACTGCAGTCATGATTCCCTTTGATTAGATTCTTTGTTCATTTGCATTAATTTTCTTTGGATTTTTGTCTTTTGTAGCTTTGTTTCCCTAATGTACACTTTTTGTTCAGTGAAATTAAAATTATTGTTCTCTTTAAATTTGCTTCAGTAAACTTGCTCAATTTTTATGCTAATTAAATTTTTAGCTAGTAGCTACAGTCATATTACATTTTAGCAATCATTTTGCTACTTTTAGCTARCATTWTACTTGTTTTACCTATTTTTGCTTCTTTATGTTTTTGCTAGTGGCTTTTAGCATTAGCTAGTATTTAAGCTTTAAGCTGCACTTCTATTACACCTTTTAGTTATCACTTTTTGCTACTTTTAGGTTTTAGCTAGAACTTTTCTTATTTTAGCTATTAGGTAGTTCATTGCTTCTCTAAGTTTTAAGCTAGTCTTCAATTACGTTTAGCATTAGCTAGTATTTTGCTACTTTTAGCTTTAAGCTGCAGTTCTATTGCATTTTAGTTATCATTTTGCTACTTTTATATTTTAGTTATTAGATAGCATTGCTTCTTTAATTTATAGCTAGTATACAGTGGCTTTTAGCATTTAATTACACTTCCGCTACTTTCAGTATTATTTAGCATTTAGCTACTTTTAGGTTTTAGCTGCAGCCATTTTACATTTAAGCTAAAACTTAACTATTTTCAGCATGTATCTAGCAATTTGCTTCTTTTAACTCTAGCGTATTACTTATTTAAGCTTTTTCCATTTAACTACAGATCTGCTACTTTTAGCTTTAGCTAGCCTTTGGCTATACTTTTTTGCATTTTAGAAAGTGTTCCATTTTTTTTTTAGCTTTTAAATTCTCAGTATAAGTTTCTTAAAAATTCTTTCAGCTCTCAGGATTTACACGCATATATATATA